GAAGGTACCAAAATTTCATAAGAATTCATTAAACAGTTCTCAAAAAATGCAACGCCAGATTTATCAAATTTATCAAGCTGAGAAAAATTACCAGATTTATCAAAGCTGAGACCTTAACAGTACCGCGATGCGCATTGGGAACGGTGCTATTACAATCAACGGTGCAAAAAGGCAACATCAGAAAAGTGTACTATATTTTCAAGTCGTGTTGCGATATCATCAAAACCTCACTTTTCCAAGACCCTAAGAATCCAGAAGGGAGTCAGAAAACGTAAAAAAAGTCGAAAACAAAGCAAAAAAACCTGTTCTTTTTGGCGTAAAAGCTCATTTTGCCGCTTCAGCTCTAGCTCAGCACTCTCGGCTGCGGCTTGATCCCTAGCTCGCTCTTTTTCTTCCTGCTCTTTCAGTCGTCGTTTTCGTTCCTCTTCCACCCGTAGCTGTTTACGCTAAAAATTCAAGCAAGTCAGTGTAATCAAATTTTACGCTCTCTCGAGAATGAGGAGAAAAGCAGCACTACCAGGAAATAGTTCTAAAACTCATTTTCATCCTGAAACCATTTTTTTCGCAAAAACAAAATTTTCATCAGATAAAAGGACCGTTTAAAATCAAATCTATGGCTGAACAGCATTCAGTATCAAGACTATTCCTTCCTTAATAAAAAATAATTTAGTAAAAAGGAATAAAAAAATTAGGCAGTGGCGCTTTTTTTCGGGATGATGCAGTTTTTGCCACAGCAGTCATCGATGAACTTTCCGGCACTCCACAGCATCAGACGCCCACTACGATGCAAAACAGAACTGAACATAATATCAAAGCAAAGTAAGTACCTTCTCTTCTTTCTCTTTTGCTTGCTTTCGAAATAGCTCGAACTGGACGGAGGTATCCAGGCTCAGGCCGCCACTTTGACTTTTCTTTGCCAGACTGTCCCAGCCTCCCAGTTTTTTCACACCAGCTTTATCATCCATTTCTAAACAAGCGTCTTTTATATGATAATCAAGATCACGCACCAATTACGTTGAATCATCTTCTTCGGTAAAAAAAAGAGAAAAAACGACGATTACCAAATCGACGATTTTTAGGGGACAAAAATCTAGCTGCAAGAAAATCCAAGGTGCTAAAAAATCCAGTCTAAACAACCGCATTCTAAACCGAATTACTACAGTGGATGGCCGAAATAAGACCTAACCAATGTGTACAAAAAGAATTGCTTTGGGCCACAAATGACCTCAATTTGTTCCCTTAAAAAAAGTTAAAAAGTGAAATTTGCGGTCCAATTTGGGCTCGTGCTATCTCAGCTCATCAAATCTACGATAAAGCAGTAGTTCAAAATTGGACAAACTATCACTAGCTAAACAAAATGCCCCCATTTTCAAGTGCATACATCTTTCTAATTATAACCCAATACCCCGAGTCATATCCAAATTCAAGCTCAATGGCATAATAATATTCGTAAATTACGAAGAAAATTTCTGAGTGCATTTTCATAAAATTAAAAAAAAGCAGTTCTGGACAATGAATTATTTGCACCGGGAATCACGCAGACAAATGGTAACCAAGTTACCTCAAATGCATTTTTTGTCTTATGCAGAATGTCACATCAAAATGAAACACTGCACAAACCACTTTGTTTGGCCGGCAATAGCTTGTCCAGTACTGAACCACCACCACTGGTCATTTGCGATTGCGTTTGCTGAGATGCTAGGCCAGCAATTGCTGAATTCGTACTACTATTATCAACAAGCGCTGTTGCAGCAGCAGCAGTGTTCTCTTCTTTTGGGGCTGTTGTATCCATTTTCTCTTCTAAAGTTTTTTTTTTTTTTTGAACTTTTTTTGAACTTCTGAACTTTGAACTTTTTGAACTTCTGAAGTTCAAAATTATTTTTGAAAAAAGAGCAAACAGTTTTCGCTTTTGCTGAAGAGCAGATAAATAAGTGGTAGCAATTTAAGACTAATATAAGCACAATACTCGCACAAAATTCTAACGTCAGGCACCTCATCGATGCAAAAAATTTCTGGAAGTGAAAATCTAAAACTCTTCGCTCCCGCTCTTCATGGACGGCAAAAAGTAGCATTTTCATACTTTAATAAATGGCCAACGCACGGGCTGCTCGTGCGAAGATGCGTTTTTTGCAGAGTTCCCCGCAGGTT